CTCTGCCCAGTGTGTTTAAATAACAAATTGAATATTTAGAACAAAGACAAAAAGCATAATGCATTTTAAAATGCAGATGCAATTAAAACAATTTAAACCAATAAATTTCCAGGTACTTGACAGTATCTTAATTCTGTCATAGTTCTCCACATTTTATCAATCTCCAGTGGTCACTCAATTATTGTATAATTTAATAAGATATAAAGAATAATTTATTTCTCTTAATGTCTTCCAAAGTAAGTACACGGGATAAAGGATACGAAAAATTAAATCAGTACCCGATCATACGAATCATGTTTCTAAATATATGTATATAAGCCTATCTTTAGGCGCATTTAGGACAGCGCGCCTACACACAGCCTCTTATCCAGTGGGGCTTTTTTCCGGCAGCCAGTGTGAAGTTGGCGGTTCGCTTACAACTATCACCGAGGTTAAGAATGAATGGAGCTTATCCTGTATGTCCTTATACGGCCTTCAAGCAAGTGATAACTACAGGTACAATGCTACAATATATTAACGTGAGTAAACGAGCGAGAATAAAATCCCATTACGTTGTTTCAGGATTCTGGCATCACATGGCGGCTCTAGGGACCTCCCAGTTCCCTGCCCAATAGTTACTGGGGCTCTTTGCACAGCCATAGGGCGGTAGAAATTTAAAACTTGGATCTAGCATGCTTCTTATATTGAGTTACAGGCCACGAGGACTCTTGTCTATACTTCTATACAGTTTCAGGTCGCAGGGCTTGGACATAGGGTAACTTTAACTTTTCAATTGCATAATATCCATAAGCAGTATATATTATTAAATTTTACTGATAGGAAGAATCAGGTATGTAAAGCTAAATCAATTAGCGTACACCGAAGTCGTGTCTGTCTGCAGCTGTGCTCCACGTCGTGCCATACCCGTTCCTTCTTAACTCACCGGGAATTCTCATATTGGGATCCGATTTACAAGTCTTTATTGCAAGAATCCATCGGGACTGAAGCAGCGCATGAGACGGGGAACTGCATCATGTGGCAAGAGACATCTTATTGAAACTGTGAGACCAAATTTTGCGCCGGTTTCGTATCTGTCACAACACACAGGCCGACCAGCGATGCTCAACCGAGATCGAGCTCAGGCACTTCAATATTGCATCCTACTTTTACATCGCTCATATTATACAATACGCAGTAAGGCAAAGAATCAAATTTTAAGCACCAGGCTCTAGTTCAGAGTCTCTACGCTGTGTCTGTATGTTACTTATATATTTTCTTTCTCATTATTTAAAATTCCAATTTCGACATTCTCTCTATATGTTTAATCTATTCACTAAGTCTTGTATAAAATGTCGTTTAAATTATGAACTACAGTTTAGTGATTTACTTAATTTCCTCCTATAAACATTTTATTGTTTAGGATTTCAGATTCTCATGCGCCGAGTATGAAAATGACTTGTCTTCTGGATTGTAGCGCGATGTAGTCTGGTAGAAGTTTATCAACGTTTCAAAGGTTTTTGCTGCCTCTATCATCAGGGCGATTGATAGAGGCAGCAAGGACCTCTGAAACGTTGATAAACTTCTACCACACTGCAAAGTACTGCATACCAGAGGACAGTTATGTTATTTAACGTTTAGAGAGTTTTCAGATTTTTTTAACAAGTCAGTGTTTTTCATAGCGAAACATCGGTCAATAGTGCTTCATCTGACTCAGACTATTCACCGTGAAATCCTCAAATATCAAAACACAAACATGTTTCTTTTCGACTCAGAACACTGATCCAAGATACAGAGGTTATTAAAATGTATTAATAACATATTATTTAACATGGCATGGTTTGTAATAAATGATGCATCACAAACACAGATTATCGGAAAAGCGAAAGATCGAACATGAAAACATTAAAAAATATTACCAGCGCCTGTTAAAATAAATCTGCAGTCCTAGAACACAACTATTGATTTTCGCTAAACTATAACCAATAAATAAAGATTCTATCAATGACCGACTTACACCGAAAAATCTGCAATTTAAATTTGCTGCTTAATAATTTACAACAATCTCAATTTCTTCCTGCAAACATTTTGACGTCACGTATTAAACTTTAAAATAAACTTCTATAATGGACGAATGCAAAGGACAGTGGAACAAAATGCAATATACTATAATCCTGATCACTGACGTTACAGCATTTTCACACGGTTCAATTCATCAATAAAATAAAATATTAAACAAACGAAATAAACTGTACAACTATAATTCTGACTCCGAACATATCTGACAAGCACAATTACTAAGGAGTTACAAGCATGAAGTAAGACAAATCCCGTTGTAAAAATCAAATTGCTTTCCTTTCCTTTCCTTGTAGTGGGTTTGTGGTATGTACTATAAGAATGTTTCCAGGGAAGAAGGCGAAAACAACATCCCTTTCCTGTAGTAATGTGGTGTTGGGACGTGCTCCGAGAGATAAGGGATGCGGAAAGACTACGTGGGTGTCCCTAAATCGACACACCCTTTTATTTGTAGTTCTAGCTGAACCACCTTTAAAGAAAGGGTGTACATGTTCGACAAGCTGTACAATACAAACAAAAATACAATACTGCATCAAAGAATATTTCTACAACATAAGAGAATCATATCTGAGAAAAAATTTATGGTAGCATAAAAGAGCGGATATAAGAAACTTTGGACAAATAAATTTAATTTATATCGAGTGACTCACCTACTGTCCGAAACACATAACATTTTGGGTATATAAATAAAATAAATGTCATAAAAATACTCTTGTATTGCAGAGACAATAATCACTCTGGAATTATAAATTGTTCAAAGTATTTGCCAGTGACCAGGCTTTGAACAGAACCGAATCGCACAACTTTGTCGAAACTGAATCTAAAGATTTCAACATAACAATTAGTTTTTATACAACCAAAAACAGACAAAGAAAGATTCGTTACATGAAGTGTTTTGACTAAAATGAGTCATCTTCAAGATTTTAATTTTTGTATGAGGACAAGCACTGAAATCTGGCTAATTAATAGATGTCGCCTACTTTGCGTCTATGTCCTTGTCCTCGCTATTTCCAGACGTAAAAATATTACTGTGTTCACGTTTCTACCTTAATATTTATTACAACTGATACGTTCTGATGCTACGAACAACGAAAAGGAGCCCCAAAACAGCGGAATGTTTCCTCTCTAACCTCTGTCAGATGACGTTCCTCATGAAGACACATCACAGCTAGCCTACCTCTCTGCTTGCTCTGTACACCAATGAGACCTGTGGGCAAAGTTCCAGGTGTCTGCAAGACGACCCACGTAATAGAGGAATCTGAAACCAAGTGAACGGTAGCGGATTAAGACTAACTAAATGGAGCGGAGTCCTAACTGAGAAACTAATAGTACATCCAGTTGGTCAAGAAATTTCTCACCTTTCATGCAACCCGAATGTTCATCACCGTCTTCACAAGAGCTCGTCATCATTCCCTATCCAAAGCAAGATGAGACCAGTCAACATCCTGCAACACTGCAACACTATTTCCCTAACATCCATTTTAATATTAACCTCCCTTCCATTTGGTCTCTTCCCTTCAGGATTCCAGATAAAAAAAATTGTTAGTGTTTCTCATCTCCCCATGCGCGCTATAATTCTCACCCATCTCATTCTCCTTGATTTGATCATCCTAAAAATATTTGGCGAAAAATACAACTTACAGACCTCCTCATTATGTAATTTCTCCACCGTCTTGCCACTTCACCCCTCTTTGGTACCCTGTATCAAAACGTGGAATGTCAATGCAGCTGAGAAAACAAAGCACTACACAAAAAATAAACATCACGAAGAAAGCTCTGAAAACTGTTATCGCTGATAAATTGATCCTGTCTACTAAAAGGAGTGACCACATAAATCAGACATTGTGAACAGCTGGTGGCATGATAAAATGCAGTTTGACAAAGGCTGGATATCTTTGCTCTAGAATGCTTCACTTCAAGGGCTTGTTTCACCTCCATTTTTTACTCACGTCACAATATATGTTCATATGTACTTTTAGACACGTTAATAACCTCCCATAACACATAATTTTACCACGTGCAAAGGCAGTTCCTCCAATATCGGAAAGTAATAAAAATATAGGCCTATATATCACCTGTGGTTCGTATAAAGATACCATAAATGAGCAGAGTGTTATGAGGGAAATATTGTCAAGTATGTTTCGAACACGACAATGAAGAGGTCCTTCACATGTTCACGACGAAACTTAAATGTCTTTCAAAACAGGAGCATGCATTAAATACTGTTCATAAGTTATTGTATTACAATTAAGAAACTGGTGACTCCAGCCCCGAAATTGGGTGACATTATCACTTCATTCTTGACCACCACAAGAGATTTCGGATGTAAAAAGCCTAAATGGTTAGAAATTTGATTTACAGAAATGTCTATAATTGGACGTGAAATTGAAAATCTAGTTACGTAACCAAAGAATACAAATCTCATTGTCCCAGCATCTCAAAATAGAAAAAAAATATTCAGAACAATTTAATCCTCTGAGCCCAATAAAATACTCCGAAATTTCCTTCGAAAATCGCCACAAATTCTAATATGACGGTCATGTTCTGTCGATACAGGACCCTGCTACTAAATGGCTTATTCCTTAAGCAAACAAAATCAAATATTAAGTAGCATATACAAAAAAATCAAAATATATAAGCTTCACTCTAAAATATGTTAATAACACTCTCGAAAAGGGAGAGGATATTTATTTAACTATAAAACAGATATTTGAGCCATACCTTGTTGGAATTTTAATCTCAGAAAGTTAACAATAGTGTTTCAGTGTTGATCGTTACCCTCAGTTTCATGATAGCCATTTCAGAAGCCAGAATAAAGACTGTGCGTATGGACGTAATTAGAACACAACAAAAACATTAGACTAGCCTGAAAGCTTCCTTTATCCCGGAGGGATTTAGGCCACAGTTAAGTTCATAAATGAGGTGGGTTAATGACCACAGCTGTTTAGGTCTGCACAAAAAATAAATTGTTTGGAACTAATTACTTCGAACAATTATATTGTCTCACTCGTGCAAGAAAATTTCCACCAAAACTGTATCTCACTGTACTTCTGTTTACATTTTCTTGTGAAAATATATAACTGAGGTCACAAGAATTTTTATAATCGTTATTTAGAAAATAAATAATTTAGTTAGAGAAATGGCTCCCGGAATTGACAATAAAACGAATATATTAAATCATTTGGGGAACTGTACTCTCACAGGAGGCAAAGTCCGAATTGTGGTCCCATGGTGTAATCGTTAGCACTCTGGACTCTGAATCCAGCGATCCGAGTTCAAATCTCGGTGGGACCTGCAATTTATTTCGCTATTTTACGTATATGAACAGGTCCCAGTCCGAGAAAAGGATGGAAGGATCCTGTTCATATGGACCTGTCGTCAGACAGAACAGAACAGAAAAAAAACAAAAAAACAAAAACAAACACTACCACCACCACCACCACCACTCCACTGCGAATGAGGGTCATGCAGTTTATTTAACAACGATATTTCAACTACGTGGTATGGTATGATAGAATTCTTATGAAGAATGAAGTGAAAAATATGAGGAAATGTAAATTAAAAATTTGGAAATCAAGAAGCGCGTCTTAGAGTTCTGAAGCATATTCTGCACCATTTCTGGAGGAGTATCCTGAACGAGACCCAAAATAGCACTGTGATATATTTAAATATAAATTTCCAATTGCAATTACATGTATGTTACATTTTTTGTCACTTCATTCTACGATATAAAAATAATGCACATGAAAAAGGAAGCGGGCAATTATTTAACCATTCTGGTCACATTTTACACATACATGTGAAGTCCTTCATATTTTCAGTAGCCTTTGAAGCGTGGTCAAAGCTTGAGGTTCACTCGGCTCTCAAAGCGAAAGAATATAAAGTAAACATAATTAAAACTTTTCCTTCAGTAAAACAGACGGAGTGAGCATTCGACACTTTGAAAACACGTTGCAATATTTTGTACAAAGTATTTTGCATGTATATAGTTAAAAATTATACTAAGCATTAAGTCATTCATTATTACCAAAATACGTCATCTAGATCCTATTCACTTCGGCATTTCCTGTCAACAGTGAGTTCAGATTCACACTTTTCCACTTAAAATATTATTTACACATACAAGTAATTGTCATATGTTTAAAAAATTGTGCTAAGTGCAATCAGACGTACACGACATAAAATAAAGCAAACAATTTCCTTACAGGTACTGTATTAATATTGCTTGTTTTAAATTAGGGCATATCTTTCTTCCATCCAACCGCGTAGACTATTTAGGCCTTCAAGTTAACTGACCTCTATTGGTATCCAGTACGTAGAAAAATAAATGCGACATCAAATAAAAATGGCCGCTGTTGTTAATAATGCAGTATGAATTAAATACAAGAATAATGGCACCAATGGCATAAGCCTTATTTATATATTAAATACACATAATTTTGATAAAAACTAATAAAGATGCTGGTCTGTTTGTTTGTAGTATAGTTATTTTCTATAAACACCTAAAACTCACGTTATGAAAATTTCTCACTTGATACATACAATACTTAATCGAAAAACACCCAGAACTTACAACACAAAATTTCCTACTCGGTACGAAGGATACGAGAATAATTTTAATCGAAGAATAATTTAAATAAGTTGTTTTATCTTAAAAATACCCAAAACCAAAGAAGGCTTTCTGTCAACGAATAGTAGATTTATAAACCTAATTACGAACAAATGTAAATTATTGTGAGTGAAGGTATTTTTCTTACGTATGTGATGAACATAAATACAATAAAATTACGTCACATTTACTTGATTATAAGCCACTGATCAAAGAAGAGGAATTGTTTTTGTGGATTATAATCAATCTACAGCATATTTTTCTTCGCCCCGCTGACTGAAAACCATTTAAGAAGGCGCAGTTAATTTCAGAAGTCCTGTTATTTATCTTTCAGTGTATTGAACGGTCTTGGTCGAATCAGCCTCACAGGCTTCAAAGCTCTGGCAACAGATACGCGCATTTTTTGCGCATCTCTTGTACTGGGAGGTTTAAAAATGCATTATATTAATTGGAAACTTTTCCTCGGGGAATAGCAACGACCCGGCTGAAAGAATTTGCTTTGCAATTTAATTTTAGCCTGACTAAACCAACTAATTAATGTTGGCGCTCTCTGAACGTTACAGAATATCGACATGTGTGGAAAGTACAGAACATATCCAAGCAAAGCAGAAAGAAAAATAAAAGGAGTAGAAGTATAGAAGCAATGAAGAACGAAAAACTAACAAAGGGTGAAAGCAAGAGAAGAAATTTTACAAAAGAAGGCTGTCAAGAAAACGGAGAGGAAGAGTCTGTGTATGTAAAATGTTCACGACAGGCATAATGCGACGGGAGCACTGAGTCAGTACGTAGTTGAAGCCTCGGGAGAGACAGGAATTGTTATCTCTACACCCACGTCGAGCCTCGTGCCCAATGGATGCCTGGGTTAAAGCGTTCAAAGTGCCAAGATGACCGCTCACTTCTCGAAGACTATACAGAGTTCATTGTAAGAACGAGCAAATCCAGACAAAACAATTTCGTGACAAAACATACACGCCAGTGTCAAATAATTTTTGCCTTGTGGTTCTTTAAAGCCTTGAGCAAAGCGAATGAAATAAATTGACAATTAAGACCTGCCATAAAAAGGAAGCTATGGGCTGGTGCGTATAAAAAAACTCTTTGGCTTGTACGAGACGACAGCAAGAATGATTTACTGAAAAACGTGACATTTTATAAACATTCATAAATTCGGCACGTCCCTTAGCGAACTAGCCTACTGAGTAAAGGACACAAAAACATAAATTAGAAAAGTGAATAAACACAATAAACACATCAAAGACCCCAGTTACGTTCATTTAAGCATTGTGTATCCCTGCATCAAAATTCGTGATATTGGACGCAACTTTGTTTTGAGACTTTGTAAGCTACGAAACAGAAGAGGCTATGTGAATCGATCAGAGCGAACCTTGCAATAATTAGGTTTTTACATCGTATTCAAACACTTATCACCGTTCTTATTATAAATGAGACCAGTTACTGCACATGTAAAATGTCCGATTTATTCATTTTAATTGATATTTATACACTAAAAACAACTAATATATCGCTTAAATTGTTTCCGTTAAACATTAAATATATGTGTTTACATAAGTAAGAACTTACGGACTGGTGTGTGAATTCAGAGGAACTTCAGGGTACAAGGGAATTTGGGCCAGTATAAAGTTCACGTTGTT